ATATATATATATTCAACTTAATGTACGTTATGTAATACAAAATTTAAAATGCAATTTTACTATTTTTCTTAAATTTATACCTATAAGTGACAAATACCTATAAGTGACAAATATTCTTAATTGTTAAAAAAATAATATGGTATAGTCTCAAAATGATAATCAACAGGTTTTTAAGTTCTCTACCTTTTTATAACTAAGGATACACAAAGTAATGTTATACACTCACACACACCGAGCTTAACTGATTAAAAGATACATAACTTTAAAATTGAGAAAATTTTTCAGAAAACAGATTACATTTTATTTTATAAAAAATATTAAAAGAAAAAGAAAATATTTATTTTTAACTATTAAAAAGTTAAATTGTTTTAACCGGTGTGCTATTTTAATCAAAATAGTAACAAGTTATGTAAGAGTATGGTAACATACCTGTTGAAGCTCATCATCACATGAAGCCATAACAAGCATCATTTCAACAATGCCTTTTTGAGCTAGACAAAAATTCCCTACCTCTAAGGGCCCCTAAAACATATTTAAAATTACTGAAAATGAATACTCAAGTTTCTAAAATTCATATAAAATTAATTAGATCACATATTTTAGTTAAACAACTGAAAACAATCATTAAAATTATCATACTTCTACTGTGCATTTAATAACAAAGAATTGGGATCTTCAAAAAATTATAATGATTAAAATAACTACTTTTAACATTTAACAGAGAAATATTTTTATTAAAAAAATGGAATATCATCAACTAAATCAAAATTCAAGAAGAAATAATAATGTACCTGAAGAAGAACAGTTATAGTGGTTGTAGCACGAACTTTGCTTTCAATATCTGGCGCTCTTAATTTATCACTGAAAGATATAATTTTTATCAAATAATGGTAAAATTATAACACCAATACACATTATGACAGTAGGTATTTTACTATTTTTTCAATAAGTTATACGATAATCATTAGAATTAAAACTATAATAAAGGCAAAAACTAGCACACATAACTAAAATACTCACTTAATGAATTCCATTACTTTGTTTCTGTACTCTTCTCTGCTTTTATCAGAATCCATGCAATAATAAATGCGCTCCAAGGTTACAGCAACATGAGTTAAAGTACGACCTGTTATATTCATGCCACTTTCATGTTTCATTTCTGGTAACTCACTGCTAACTTCAAGAAGACAATATAACCCTAAAAATAATATATTTAATTTAAGGATGTATGTACATATGAGTATGAACATATGAGTAAAATGATGAATAAAAAACACAAAGAAAAAAGTATATATATATATATATATACACACACACTGGTGGACAAAAATAAGATATGCAAGATAAAAATAAGATATGCAAGATACCCGCACACCGCTCCATG